GGTGTGAGTTAACATTTAGCTCTTTAGGGAGAGAGTGAGTATATATATATATATTTTTTAAGCATTACGCCCCTAGCAAGGCGTGAAGCCACTAGGATGCAGGGGGTTGCAGAAGATTTGGAGCGAGAGCAGATAGGAGAGATAGAAGAAAGGATGAGAAGAAGGATAGTGGGTAGATCAAGGTAACTGGAGGTGTCGATTGACATTACATTTGAATAGTTGGAGATTATAGCTCTCGGGGAAACACTAATTGGGAAGGGTGTTCCACATGCGAGAGATGCGAGGTATGAAGCTATTGGAGTAGAAGAGACGGCTACATTAAAAAATTTCTACAGTGTAAGGGTGGGAGCGGGATGCCAGCCTCGTAGGGCGCTTGAATTCATGGAGTATATATATATATATATATATATATATATATGAAGAAATATAGTCTTAAGAATTTATGGGAAAAGTGCTCAATATCAGAGATAGAGCGTGTGTAAATATAAAAGTGAACATAGAAGTCAACACTTAGAGGTGACAGTCTGTTTCATGCTAGATGCAATCGTCAGGCCACTTTCCCCTACGAATTTTAAAACTCGCAGGATTTTTCGAACTGTTTATGGTATCAGCTTGTAGTGGGATACTGGTTAGTTGGGGAAATAAAGAGAGAGGGCGTTATAGGGAATTTTGACGTCCCTATGGAAGCTCCCCTATAATGACTTGTCTTTCTTTCCCCAACTAACCAATATCACACTACAAATTGATACCATAGACATATTGAAAAATCATGCGAAGTCTGAAATTAAAATTCGTAGGTTAAAATAGTCATTACCTAAAGGTATCTTAATTCCAATTGTAAAGAAAATTTGCTCTGTTTAATGAAAAACATTGTGCGCTCTTTTAAATTCTATGTTAATAGGACTCGCCTGAATTATACCAACGGATTACTACCTATATATATATATATATATATATATATATATATATATATATATATATATATATATGGTGCGATGGATAATTTGTCGTTCAAATTACGCAAAAACGAAAATAACACTGACATCTCATTTTAACAGATATATTTACCAAAATTACACAAAAATATCTTGAAATACTGAAGAGTAGATTTATTCAAAAAATCGCCATTGGTCTCAACCACAGACTTCAGACGACTTCGGAATCTCCTATAACTCTTCTGGACTGTCATTGTGTTTAAGTTGATGACTGCTGCCATAATCCTGAACGTCAGTCCACATAAAATCATCAATAGGATTACAGCCTAGGGAATAAGGGGTGATGTGGTCGCAGAAATTGTCTGATAGATATGACTGTGTTCTCCTGCTTGTGTGCCTTGGTGCAGAGTCCTAATGGTAGATATAGGACCTTCCAGCAGCCACCCTCTTGACCCAGGGCAGCACTACCTCTTCAATAGACTTGATGTAGTTCTCCATGTTGTGTCTGAAGCTCTATGGGAAGATGACTTGTGGCCTAACGTCGATTTCTCTAGTGATCACTCCAAACACCTTCGTAATCACCATTAGACTATTTTCCGTATCCTCTGCAGTGTCCTCAGATTGACACACAAACACTCTGAATTTTGTTCGTGTTCGAGCTTCCGGTGCGAATGCCAAGCAGTACAGCATGCCGTTTCCAAATTGAATGGCGTCATGGTTCTCTTTTTTCTCACAGACGATACCCAAATTTCCCTACTATGCTGTGCAGCCGACAAAATCAAAAACAAATCCGCGAAATTAAAAATATAACATGGCGACAATTTACCTATCGCACCATATATATATATATATATATATATATATATATATATATATATATAGAGAGAGAGAGAGACAGAGACAGAGAGACAGGGATAGAGAGATAATCACAAAAATGTTTAATATATAAACAAAAATAAACAAAATGTAATTTGCGAGACTATATATCCAAAACATATATTAAAAAATTTTAAATTGTTTTCCTTCTCGCACATGTGTTGCCGGATTAACGAAAACTTCACTATTCCGATGAATTCGTAAAGGACGAAACGTTTCACACGAAAATGTATACAAAGTTGAAAATTTTATAAGACGCGTTTCGCCGGAGGAGCGTATGCTCTCTTTGTCTTCTTCAGTTTAAATGAAAGAAAGGAAAACTGTGTATGAGAAAATGTTTTGGGATATCTAAGAATAAGTGAATATCATAAATCAAATGAATTACCCTAGCTTATCACCTCCAGACTTGGAGACTACATTCAGAAAAAAGTCATCCCAAGGAGCAAACACAGAATGCTAGTGTTATGGACCGGTTCCTTGTACCACGGTGATAGTCTAAGGTAAAACCAATAAAGAAGAACGCGAACACAGGTATGGAATAACACAGATATATTACAAACAGGAATATATACAGAGAAGTCGAAGTGTTAGTATGAACAATCAGGTTTAGTAGAGAGAACAATGTAGTCTCGACCAGTATCACTATTCCAATGTCTTGTAGAAATTGTCTAAACGCGACTCCGTTTCGGACTGCCTCCGACTCGACTGGCAGACTCCCAACGAACTTCACTCCCGACTTCCGACTGAACAGTATTTAGTCACCCACCCCACGAGGGCATCATGTGGTACAAGGCCGGTTTAACGTGGGATCTCCGAGCCCGTAGGATCTCCGAGCCCGTGGGCTCGGCCAAAAATATGCCCTTTGAACTTGTATACACGGGTTCAGGGTCGGTTTACCTCCCCGAAAGAGACTCCGCCCTTCGGCATAGCTTCGTTCGGATTCCTCCCCGCCCGAAGGCAGAGAGTTCAACCGATCAGCCGATCAGCCGGTCGCCCGACTTCAGACTGAACGGTATTTAGTCACCCCCCCACCCCCAAGAGGGCGTCATGTGGCACAAGGCCGGTTTAACGTGGGATCTCCGAGCCCGTGGGCTCGGCCAAAAATATGCCCTTTGAACCCGTATAAACGGGTTCAGGGTCGGTTTCCCTCCCCGAAAGAGACTCCCGCCTTTCGGCGTAGCCTGGTTCGGGTTCCTCCCCGCCCAAAGGCAGAGAGTTCAACCGATCAGGCGATAAGCCAGTCGCCCGACTTCGGACTGAACTCCCTGCTTCCTCTTGAGGCGAAGTATTTATTACGTATGGAATAGTCCATTATATTATTATGAGTAAGGTCTCATAACAGCTAGGAAGATCAAATCACATATTCGCCGGATATGTTCACGAATACCTTAAGTCCATTGCAGAATAACTTGACACTTATTAAAAAGAAAATAAATATTTACAAAGCAATTAAAAATCGGACTGGAACTTCGACAGAATAACATCTTGTTAAGAGTCGGATCATTTACATCGAAGTATCAATAATATGAAACAGGCAGATCGATAACCTACATCAGAAATCAAGGTCCTTATGCAGAAATGATAAATAGAATCATATAGGACGTCCAGACATTATACAAAAACATGTCCGCTACGCAACTATCAAAAATGGAGACTGAAGCACTCAACTTGAGACGCAAATTCGTTACTGACATTCAAGAATAAAAAAAATTCAATGTCCATCAGAAAGTTAGTTACCATCGAAGAGAAATCATGAGTTAGATTGATAGAATGCCACCTAACCAGCATCCTGGTTATGAAAATAAAATATATCCGATAGCAAGTCCTCTGATCAGGAGGTTTTTTATGAGCCTGGACCCCGTCTCAATTGCTGCATTTCCCCGGTTCACCCTGATCTGGAGTAGTAGTACTTGTCACGGTCCAGGGTATGAGCAAAAAAATGAACCCTTAAACTGGGATCAGATCACTATGAAAGTATAAAAAAATACATTTTCTTTGACTAGTAGACTCCTTGATGAGTATGATGCCATAGCTCTCAAGTCCCCTAGACTCACTGAGGAATATAGAGCCATGGTTTTCAAGTTCCATAGACGACCTGATGAGTATGCGACTACAGCTCTCAAGCCCCGTAGACTCTCTGAGGAGTATGGTGCCATGGCTCTCAAATTCTGTAGACTCCCTGAGGAGTATGGTGCATCAGCTCTCAGCACGCTAGGCATTACTGTCGCGGTTCCCATAGCAACTAGCAACTAGTAACTTTTTTACGGGTTGGAGTTGCTAGTTCCATGCTCAATCAGTTTGGATTTCAGAGTTGTCCTTCTCCTGTACTAGTTACCAACCAAGAGTGAAGGGACCATTCTGCTCTACTATTTAACCCATATTTGAGAGGAGGAAGAGATAGAGTCATACCTTTCCCAAAGGTATTATCATATAAATAAATTTAACAAACTCGATTGGAATTCGAAATCCTTCCGAGTCGCTATTATACCAAACACACATACAAATCTAATCGTTTAACTAAATCACTCCATTTAATGAAACACAACGGAATTACAAATGTAATTATGCCTCCAAAATTACATTCAAGTTACAAAAGAAAGACGCAAGATGATCTTCTTTCTTTCGCCTTTTTCCTGTGCTGGAAATCGAAGCTTTGTAAATATCCATATTAGTTTGTTTATATCTATCTATCTGTGGGGCTGCGTATATGGGCGCACATGTGTGTGAGTGTGTGTATGTGTATGCGTGTACACGAAGTTCATAAGTTAATTTCTGCGTGTATTTACATCTATAATAACCTGTCGGACGTCCAACACTTAACAGACGTTCAACGAGACAGACAATAGATACTTGAAAGGGAAGACTTGAAATAGATGCAGCAATAAAAGCGGCTGCCGGATGATGGCATCTAAGATGAAGCACGTCATAAAGCAGAGAAGCACACGTCGGCCATATGTGTGTTGCGGTGGCTACAGCATTTAAACCCCCACCCACCGGTGAAACATGTGATGCAATGAGGCATGAGTTCCGACATACTGAAATGACAATAATGGAATGAGGGGAATCAGGGCTGGGGAGGCGAAAGGAGGTGACCACTCTTGAGATGGTGGCGGTGGTGGTGGCGGTGGTGTTGGTTGTGAAGTGAAGGCGAGAAGGGGCGGAATGGAAATGAGGTGAATAATTTTTGGATCAGAGGAGTTTGGTTAAAAGGGCAATAAAAGAAAGGGGTGATTTGAAAGAAAGAATGAGAGAAAGAAGGAAAAGAAGAAAAAGAAGGAGAAAAAGACAAGGAGAGGTGAAAAGACGATATGAAAGAAGAAAAAAAAAGAAGGAGAACGAGAGAGGAGAGAAGAAAATTTTTAAAAAGACGAGGTGGAGGAAGTGGAAGAAGAAGAAGAAGAAGAAGAAAGAGGGGGAGAAAAAGTGAAAAAATAACAAGAGGGAGAAGAAGAAAAAACAATGGAAGGAAAAAGAAGAAAGAGTATAAGAAACAAGATGAGGGAAAAAGAAGAAGAAGAAGAAGAAGAAGAAGAAGAAGAAGAAGAAGAAGAAGAAGAAGAAGGAGGAGGAGGAGGAGATGAAGAAGAAGAAGAAAAAGAAGAAGAAGAAGAAAGAGGGGAGAAAAAGTGAAAAAATAACAAGAGGGAGAAGAAGAAAAAACAATGGAAGGAAAAAGAAGAAAGAGTATAAGAAACAAGATGAGGGAAAGAAGAAGAAGAAGAAGAAGAAGAAGAAGAAGAAGAAGAAGGAAGGAGGAGGAGATGAAGAAGAAGAAGAAAAAGAAGAAGAAGAAGAAAGAGGGGGAGAAAAAGTGAAAAAATAACAAGAGGGAGAAGAAGAAAAAACAGTGGAAGGAAAAAGAAGAAAGAGTAGAAGAAACAAGATGAGGGAAAGAAGAAGAAGAAGAAGAAGAAGAAGAAGAAGAAGAAGAAGAAGAAGAAATTCAGTCCTTTCCAACCAAATTTTGATTTCCGCTTCTCGTCAACATCGTTGGAGCTTTTACTTGTGAACGTAAAGTGAAAAATCTACTTTGTTTCCGTTACTCGTTAAGCACCTTCAATATTTATTCTTGTAGATATTTATTTATTTATCTATGTAGATACTTACAACAATCGGTCTTGTCTGGCAAAGGAAAAGAACAAACAAAAAACTTTATAAAACATTTAAGACAGAAAACCTGTTTTTAAACAATATAAAATATTTTTATAGTTTTATTACTTTTAATTTTTACACTTTTTAATATTTAATTTTATTTTTATTTTCCTTCAAACTTTACTGTGGCGAAATCGGTAAAAACACGTTAAGCTATATACCGGTTCCGTATAGGATACAGGTTCGATTCCTGTCAAAGGGCGCATATTATCTATGAAAATTTCGCGAACATTCAGGCCAGTAAATGTTGTTAATACTGTTTATTATAAACAGAGCATTTACTTAAATATTTGTCTCTATAAAAAATAATATATATATATGTGTGTGTGTGCAGGTATGTAGAAAAATAGGAAAGAACACGTTAGGTAAATAATCCAAGGTTCTTCGTTTTTTATTTTTAAAAAACAGTTCTCCATACAGAAGTAAATCTTAGATTATAATTATTTTTTATATCATATCATATTTAAAAAAATAGTCATAATATATATATATATATATATATATATATATATATATATATATATATATATATATATATATATATATATATATATATATATATATTATGAAGAAAACAAACACTTAAAAGGTCCTGAGATGATATTTATTTCGTTAAGATCAGAAAGTTTGACCTGAACTCTTCAGACACCGGAAAGAGGTCTGAAGAGTTGAGGCCACATTTTAAATCTAAAACCAGCGAAAACAGACAGTAGTCTACGGTCTTGACCAGAAAATCCAACATAAAAATCCATTCTATATATAAAATTCAATGACTTCCGTCCGTCTGTCCATCCGTCTGTCACATTCTAAAATAGCCATACATTGATTGATTGAAATCAAATTGTGGCGAGAAGTGCAAACTGGTAAGAGGAGACAAGTTTTACTAGGGTGCGTAGCCTTCAGTTTCGGCAATATACTTAACAAGGTTCAACACTTCAAAAAGTTGTAATTTGGCTCAGAAAGACATATTTACGCACATGAATTTAAGCGTGCTACTAGATTGGCTTCTAGGTCCCACCCTTTTACTGTTGAAATAGTTAAATGCAACCACCACTTATACTCCAGCAGTTACTTTTTTCGAGCTTCCTGACAGTGGAACGCCCTTCCTCTTACTTGCTTCCCTGATTACTACAATCTTTAAATTACATAAAAATTTAAATGCAGCGTCAATTGCCATCTTTTGTTGCCTTGATCCCCATTCTTTTTTTTTATATTTTGAATCCCCTCTATACACATTCTTTTCCCTCACTTTCGCAACCCCTGCGTGCTCTCCCGCTTTGCTTGGGGATGGGTGGGTAATACTTTAAAAAAATAGTAAGACTTTTATCACTAAAACCATTATTATCTAAAAAAAAAAAGCTAGAAATAATTTAGATTTCGACATTAAATAACCCATAGAGGTGTTGATATGCCGCTAAAAAAACAACCAACCACTATTTCTTCTCTCGTCCAATACTACATAATAATCTTCTACTTTGAGGGCCTCGTAGGTGAAAATTCGTATAAAAAAAGACTAAGAAAATTTCTTTAATATTTTTGTAAATATTTCTCCAGTTCGGTTGATTTTTTTTTTATAGTTTCCTGGGAAAACTTGAACTAGTTGCCCATAGCTGGGACCCTGACAGGTGCTACCACCCCAGGTCAGGGTGGACCTGGGAACACCAGCAATTAAGAGGTGGTTCCACGCTCCTCAAAACCTCCTGATCAAAGGACTTGCTGTCGGATGTAGTTTATCGTCTTACCCAAGACGCGGAAGCAGTACTCTATTTTAGGACTGATCTGGCTCTTGTAAAGGAAGGGGATAGCAGGCATCAGATACTCAATGCAGCAGTACAAGGAAGCGACCATTTTCCAGCATCTTTAGCAATGGATCTATGTAGTTACAGTACATGTGATGTCCCAGCCACCCAGGAGACCTGCAATAGGTTGCAGGATGAAAAGTCCAAACACAGGGTCTTCAGTCCTGTAATTATCACTCTCTGTGTTAAATAATAGTTTAACAGACTGTTATTATTTTTTTTTTTATAGAGAATGGTATTTTTGCTCGGACTTCCTGAGGTTGACCTTTGGGGTCAGATGGAAAGCAAATCAAGGAAGTCGATCTTGATTGGATGAATGAGCGTGAGAACGATAGATAGAGAAAGGTTTTGAGTGAGTTGCTACTTAACCGTCAAACAATGTAGACGTGTTTTCTTTCGTGTCTAAAACGGCTAGCCAGTGTAAGAAAACGAACCCACTGGATAGACAGGTCATGTCGACATGTACGTTAATAAAATAGCTAAGTTAAATTTCCCCGTGTTGAAGTTCTCTTATCTCTGGACTTAAATCACCGGCTGCGAGGGAAGAATGCAACTTTATTATTGAATTGATGCTGTCTCCAAGACCTCCCCAGCCCTAGTGGGTTAGGCACCATCTGTAGTTCTATAATCTCCTTTTAGCACTGAGAACGTCTCCCGTAGAGCCTAGTTTAATCTCTCCTGCAGTGTTTTCAGTCTTCACTGAACTATTGTGTTTTGCCGGTGTAATACTAATGATAAGCAACCGTTTACACAAGGAAACGTTCAGCGTTCGTTGATCAAGCGGCCAGGTTTCCTTCCTAAGCTTTTATTTGAAGTGATGTGGAAAATTAACGTCTTGATTATGTCATTATTTTACAAGTGCTATTCATTTTAGTTGTTGCTGCTGTTGAAAATCCTCAAGTGATGTATTCTCTGTTATTTGCTACAGTTCATTGTTTATGACTCTGTAGCCCCAGTGCATAATATTCAAGGATTCTCTTCCAGTTACTTGTAAAATCTACTTTAGTTATTGCCGCTAATGATTATACTAGGATTTATTACGATTTGCTAAGTGCAAGTCTTTTGGTTCAATGGACTGAACATGTAAGTAATGACGTACTTTTAGAGAAACTGGGAACACACACACACGCTCGTGCGCACGCACACATATAGGTTACATAGGAGGACAGACTGGGCTCTTCAGCTTTGGTTGCTAACCAGTCTAGGAGAAAGACAACTCTGAATAACTGAGGTCGATTTGATAGATAGCTGTACTCATAGACACACATGTACACACATACAAACACTCACACGCACCCACACACTTCCATATATATATACATACACACGCACTAACTCGCAAAAACACACACATACACACATATACATCAAACTGTTTCGAATAACTTGATTTGGATAAGGCCTTACCAGTTCACAATCATCAGTTCTAAGAAATTGCGTTTCGCCATCGTTAGACAAGCTTCCTCGGATCAAAACGAAAGAAATATATATGTGTTTGCTTCAATATTAAACCGTAATACCTTTTTCGCTATGCTGACGTCCATCAGTCGAGATGAAAGAACAAAATTGTGCGACTTTTGTATAAAAGCCATTATTTTAATTTACTTTTTTGCTGTTTATTTTTCTTTTCAATTTTCGTGTTGTGTGGAAATCTTTTTCTCATATTCCCCCACTTTTACTGCATTGAATTTAAGGTAAACCCCTATACCTTTAATAGTATACAGAATGGGTTAAAAGCCAGATTCATATAGTTTTTAGCATTGACTTTAAGGTAAACCCTTATCTAAATTCTTCAGAATGGGTTAAAAGCCAAAGATTCATATAGCTTTTCTACATTGTAAAGAGAAACACACACACACACACACACACATATATATATATATATATATATATATATATATGTATGTATGTAAGCAAATATATGAATATAGATCCGACAGTATGAAGAAAAATATACGGAAAAAACAAACAAAAATATTAATATGCAATTATGCTGTTTTAATGTTAATATAATGTCAACGTCGGACGTTTCGGTCTAATAGACCATCTTCAGGACATATTCATAAAACATAATTAACATAGACCATATACAATTCAATATGAAAAAGACGATGGACATAAAAGCAAGACCAATCCAAACAGATAACTGAAATCTTTTATAAGATCAGCGTTCCGTTTAAATATGATCACGTCGTCGTCACGTGGGCGATGTTGTGAAAACGTATTCCTAAAATTTTAGTATTTTGAATGAAAAACGAAAAGAATTTTATTTTGATCTAAAACTTTTATGTACGTTTGTCGAGCATTAATCTTGCTAGAAAAGGGGAAATATTAAAGAAACCAGGTCTTGTGTTCATCGTGCGTGACACACACACACACACACACACATATGCACATACACATGCACGCACGCACGCATGCACTCATATGCCAGAAGTTTTAGAGAGGGTGAAAGAGAGAAGGATGAAAATAAAGTGAAGCGTATATTGTGCGAACCTCGGTATATATAAAAAAAAAAAGTCTGGACGTAGAAATCAACATTACGTTTTGACTATGAATTTCGCTCTCTAAATGGTCATCAGAATCATTAATTTGTCTTTAATGAAAGATGGAAGCAAGAGAGCTTGCTGCCTAAGTACGCACACATGGACACGCACATTCACACGTCATCTCACACGTCATTTCTTCTATTTACCGTATCCCTTCAGGACGTTGACAATCATGGCTCTCCACAATTTCCTGTCCTTCGTAGCTCTTAATAACTTTAGTTATTTTGCCACCTCTTCCGAACCCTACTCCGCCATCCATTCGCTCAAGTTCACCAGGAAGGTTATGCATTGATTTCCTCTGATCCTTCAATCTGTCCCGTGAGTATCAAATTTTCCAAGCCCTCTTTCCGCATTATGTACCCTAGACATTTCAACTGTCTTTTCTTGATGTTAATTATAATTTTCTTTTTTATTGCTGTTGTCTCCACGACTTTGTTCACACTTTTATATATTGTTTTAAGGTAAAGCCCTATCCAAATTCATCAGAATGGATAAAAAGGGAAAAAAATCACATAGCTTTTCTGCATTGCATTTAAGGTAAAGTAAAACGTGGAAAATAGTCATTATATAAACAGTGTAAATAATGATAACTACTAATCCCAGAATTTCAGACGGAGTTAACTATCTCGGCACACACGCACATTATATATATATGTATATATATATATATATATATATATATATATATATATATATATATATATTATGAATCATTCATTACAAAAAACAAATATAGAGGTTAATGATTTAAATGGCGAGAATACATCTTCGCAAACAATATAAATGAGATACATCAACCCCAAACCTGTATATGAATGATATGATCCCTGTTCATAAATTCCAGTTGCATAAGGTCTTTTAATTTTTTACAAGCTTTCGTCTGTTCCTACAGACATCCTCAGGTATGGAAATAGATTTTGTTCTTGTTTTTACTTCTCGGGGTTGATATATCTTATTTATATTGTTTTGAAGATTTATTCTCGCCATTTAAATCATTAACCTCCATATTTGTTTTTGTATGAATGATTCATGAATTTATAAATTATAATTGCACCTTTTATATATATATATATATATATATATATATATATATATATATATATAATAAAGACCTTATTTTGCCAAAATATTTTACATAAATATGAAATATTTTATTTTTCCATCTCTCCCAAACCCTACACCACCAACCATTCGCTCAAACTCTCCAGTGAGGTTGTGCATTGATTTACTCTGATCTATCCGGTGAGTATCAAATTTTCCAAGCCCACTTTCTGCATTATGTACCCCAGGCATTTCAACTGTCTTTTCTTGATGTTAATTATAAGTTTCCTTTTTATTGATATGATCTCCATGACTTCGTTCCCACTTTTATATAATTATATTGTTTTAAAATTGGTATATTTATCGAGGAGGAAATCTTAATATCAAAGCTTGGCCATTTGTTTGTGGGCACACGCAGCCTGGTGTGGCTATATACGCTTATGGTATGAAAATATCAGTCTCCATATATATATATATATATATATATATATATATATATGGAGAAAGGGAAGACAGATAAAGTGTGGGTAATGTAACCAATAATGTATAGTGACTGATAGTGTTGGCGAGACAGAAAGGGGCAACGAAATATGCAAGAAAGAAAAAATATATATCCATCCGCATCTATCCGTCACGCACTATCTCTCCCCCACTGTTTCTCTGTCTTTCTTTCTTTCTTTCTTCCTTTCCTTCTTTCTTTCTTTCTTTCTTTCTTTCTTTCTTTCTATCTATCTATCTATCTATCTATATATATATATATATATATATATATATATATATATATATGGTGTGACAGAGAGGGTTTTTGGTGAGACAGGAAGAGGCAGTGAAAAATACAAGAACGAAAAATGAGCTTTGATAGAAAAGGCTGAAAGAATCAGTGAGTTTACATATATTTACTTGCATACATCACTTTCTCTGTACACACACACACACACACACACACACAGAGAGAGAAAGAGAAAAATAAAATGGTATAGGTGAGAATGAATAAAAATAGGAAAGATGTAAAAGACTAAATGAGGTATTGAGAGAAAAATAAAAGGAGAGAGCATGCCAGAGAGCATGCCAGAAAGAAAGAAAGAAAGAAAGAAAGAAAGAAAGAAAGAAAGAAAGAAAGAAAAAGCTATAGAGGGAGAAAGAAAAGGTTAACAAAAATAAAAAAAAATGAGAAACATTTTTGCAACTGCGCAAACGTTAAATCCTCCGCTAACTTTCGACCGAGTCTAGCCGAAGCGTCGAAAGAATCGTCACGTTTGTGAGAAGGTGTTATTGTCTAATGTCGCCCAGTGTTTGCCAAACAGCGCCACTTGTTCATCTGAGATGGTATCAGCCCTTCCCCCGATCACACCTTGAGGATTTGACTTTGTGATTTGTTTTTGGCGTGAGACGGGTAAAATTGTGAACAAATAAAAGTTGACTGCTCGAAGATAAAACAAATTATTGATACGACCTTTGTGTGGTCCTTGATCTGTTTAGACTCAACATTCGCCATTTTCCCCCTCTAATCAACCTCTTATAGGCGAATTCGGTATCAGTAACATAGCTTTTTTTATTGTATCTTTCGCGGCATTTCTATAAAAATGACTGTTTGATTTCAAAGAATTATTCAGGTAATGTTATTTAACACAAACCTATCTACCCTATCGATCTCAGTCGAGACCATAGAGTCCGGACTGCTGTTAATTGTGAACTAAATAATCTTTTCTATGGCTGTATAATATGTGCTTCGCAAGGCTTACATATGATTTTGAATTCAGGAATTATTGTTCTTCTGTACAGGTTATCAACTACAGCCATCGAGTCAACGTTGCTATTTAAGTAATAACTGGCGAAGGTGGAGAAGCAATGGATTAAGAGTAAAGTAGAAGAAATGGTAAGAGTAAAAGAGAGGAACATAGAGAGAGAATAAAAGAGAAAAACATATAATGTGGATAAAAGAGAGAAACATATGTTAAGTGTAAAGAAGAGGAAGATATAGTGAGGGTAAAGAGGAGATCATATAGAGAGAGAGAGTGAAAGAAGAGGAAGATATAGTGAGGGTAAAAGAGGAGAACATATAGAGAGAGAGTGAAAGAAGAGGAAGATATAGTGAGGGTAAAAGAGGAGAACATATAGAGAGAGAGTGAAAGAAGAGGAAGATATAGTGAGTGTAAAAGAGGAGAGCATATATATATAGAGAGAGATAGTGAAAGAAGAGTAAGATATAGTGAGGGTAAAAGAGAGGAATATATGGTAAGAGTAAAAAAGAGGAAGATATAGTGAGGGTAAAAGAGGAGAGCATATATAGAGAGAGAGAGAGTGAAAGAAGAGTAAGATATAGTGAGGGTAAAAGAGAGGAACATAGAGAGAGAGAGAGAGTGAAAGAAGAGAAAGATATAGTGATGGTAAAAGAGGAGATCATATATATAGAGAGAGAGAGTGAAAGAAGAGGTAGATATAGAGGGTAAAAGTGAGGAACATATATAGAGAGAGAGAGTGAAAGAAGAGGAAGATATAGTGAGGGTAAAAGAGAGGAATATATTGCAATAGTAAAGAAGAGGAGTGAGACTTACATGGAATACTAAGTGGGGAAAATTCCTGAAACAGATAATAGCAGGAATATAGAACGAGCGCAAGAGATATCCTCAATGTTATAATGAAAAATTATAAAGAAAGAAGGACACAAATATTGGGAGAGAGGATAACATTCAAAATTGGTCTTACCAGAAATATTCGGTCGTATGTGTTCTAGCGAGACAGGAATAATATTGCACCAATCGAGGTAATAATGATTTTCTAAGAGACTTACATGGAATACTAAGGCCGAAAATATGGAAACACCCAGTGAGGAGGAATCACTAACAATCGTAAATGTTCTAGCCATTACACCGCCTAATGAAAAAGTTATATAGAAAGAAGGACACAAATATTGGGAGAGATTTGGCACAAAGGCCGAAAGTATGGAGCACCCAGTGAGGAATGAACTCACTATTCAATCGTAAATGTTCTAGCCATTACACCGCCTCGAAGTGCCTCATAGTGATTTTCTAAGCCCGGCTTAGATTTGGCACAAGGCCGAAAGTATGGAGCACCCAGTGAGGAATGAACTCACTATTCAATCGTAAATGTTCTAGCCACTACACTGCCTCGAAGTGCCTCATATTGATTTTCTAAGCCCGGCTTAGATTTGGCACAAGGCCGAAAGTATGGAGCACCCAGTGAGGATTGAACTCACTATTCAATCGTAAATGTTCTAGCCATTACACCGCCTCGAAGTGCCTCATAGTGATTTTCTAAGTCCTGCTTAGATTTGGCACAAGGCCGAAAGTATGGAGCACCCAGTGAGGATCGAACTCACTATTCAGTCGTAAATGTTCTGGCGAGACAAACCTGCTAACCATTACACCGCCATGAGGTGCCTCATAGTGATCTTCTAAGCTCGGCTTAGATGTGGCACAAGGCCGAAAGTATGGAGCGTCCAGTGAGGATCGAATTCACTATTCAGTCGTAATTTATCTAGCAAGACAAGCTCGCTAACCATTACACCGCCTCGAGATGCCCTCTTGTGATTTTCTAAGCGTAGCTTAGATGTGGCACAAGGCCGAAAATATGGAGCACCCAGTGAGGATCAAACTCACTACTCAGTCGTAATTTATCTAGCAAGACAAGCTTTCTAACTATTACACCACGCCGAGGTGCCCAACCTCGTTAGCATATATAAAGCAAAAATCTTTCTTTCCAGATAATTTTTCTTTCAATATATTGTTGCTCATAAGCCCAATGAAAATGATTACAATGAAACAATATCGAGTCATCTTACTGTATGAGTACGAACTAGGGAAAAGAACCATTTTTGCATTGAATCATTACATGCGATGAGAAATGGATACTCTTTGACAACAATAAGAGATTACACCAGTGTTTAGATGCAAGGGAATCACCAAAATAACACGCAAAAACTCCACTGCACCCTAAGAAGTTAATGGTTACTCTATGGCGGTCTTTCAAAAGGGTTATTCATTTTTTTCATCAACGGAAAACAATAACAGCAACATCGTATTCTGGAGAAATTGAGTGTATGCACGAAAAACTGAAAAAGAAACATCCCTAGACTTGTGAATAGGGATGGTCCAATTTTACTGCGCGATAACGCACGGTCATACGCTTTCAATCAACAGCCCAATAGCTGCATAGCCTGAATTATGAAATTTAGTCTCATCCTCCATGTTCGCCTGATTATCAATTATTCAAGCATTTTGAGTTTTTGGTTCGCAAGGAAGAGGTAATCAAAACATTTGAACTGTTTATCGCATCAAAGGATGAGAATTCTTTTAAAGATAGGATCAAGAATTTAGAGTTACGTTGGAGAACAGTCATTCATTAACATGGTGCCTGTTTCAACTAAATAAATATAGTTATTTAACATTGCAAAAGCATTTTACCCATTTCTTATAAAGTGCGTCATTTCATGTGGCAACTTAATACTTACCACAAATCATACGAAGTTGCAAAGAACCTTGATCGCCCTTGTCCCGAAGGAACACGGCACATCGAAGTAGAATTTTGGTTCGTGATTTAATCTCTTATACATTTTGACCATAAATATGGCTAACATTTGATCACATCGTCCAGTACGTGACCGGCGAAAAGGTTTACTTCCCGTGTATAATAGGTATTGCTTACTTTTCGACTTAAGAAGCTAGAAAATGTGCGTATTATACACGAATAATTACAATATTACTTGAGATATATTGGGAACAATTGTTCCCCTTTATTTGTGTTTTGGAAGGAAATCCCCCGTTATTATTAGATAGAGCGATAACAGTTAGTGGACTTGAGAAGTTTAACTTCCTGAAAAAACAATGTTTAAGAAAAAGATTTTAATAAATTTTAATCGTCAGTAACGCAAAGTCTTCCCTTAATAAATGTCAATTTTTTCCTCCATGGAAACGGTTTATTTCACCATTTTTTTTATAGAAATGTATTGAAAACGATTTGGATATAGGAATGCAGTGGAAATAATTTTGCTATGGAATTTATTGGAAATGTTTTTGCCATAGTAAGCACTGCTATATCACGTTGAAACACTGGGTCCTGTATGATCACCGAAGATAAGCAACGTCGAGATTGGTCAGTACCAAGATGGGTGACAGCTTGAGAATACCGCTGACCGTAAGGTTGGATGTGCTGGTGGTGTAATGTTCGGAATTGTTAATCGCAAAGCCGAGTTGCAATTCCAGTTGGGCTCAAACTCCCTTGGGAAAGGCATGAATCCACCTCTTCTCCGCCACCCCCTACCAGCTCTGGTTTAATTATTAAGACTTGCATCATCATCATCATCATCATCATCATCATCATCATTATCATCATCATTCCCTTGACTTTTGTAATAGTAGCAGAGATTCCAATATTGAATCTCCTCTACAACGGTCTATCAACGGCAGCCATCAGAAATTCTGATATAGTTGTACTTGTCCATTGTTTGACATTGTTCGACCAGTTTTTTTTTTTTACGTTGGCGTCATCTTCTACATCCACCTTCAAAGGTGCCTTGCATAATGGCCTTGCACAGGCTGTAGATGTCTAATAACGTGTCCAAAGCACGACATTTTTCTCCGTTTGACAAAAAAAAAGATTTGCATCACTAAACCATTATTATTTACAAAAAATAAAGTAGATTTGCGCACTGAATATTTAAATTTCGACATTAAATAACCTATAGCTGTTGATATGTCTCTAAACAAAACTTTTATATATATATATATATATATATATATATATATATATATATATAGATAGATAGATAGATAGATAGATAGATAATATTAGTGGTAAATATACGCATACATATGCAATCAGATATCAATATATATATATATATATATATATATATATATATATATATATATATATATATATATATATACACATACATATATATTTGTATAAAAAATAAATCCAAGAGGATAGAATCCAGATAGAACTCAATGTCCAGGACAGAGTAAGGATATAATAAAAAGACTTAAACACTAATATTCCATGGTCATAATTTATTCCATTGGAATCGTAAATACGATCTAATTCATCAGACCCACAAATTCTTTTTGAATAGTGAGTTTAAGCCTTTTTTTATTATATATTATATATATATATATATATATATATATATATATATATAAAGTAAGGGAAGTAATCAACAGATTGAAGACAAAAAGAACAAGGAAAGCTAAGGCCATAAAGGGAAATTAATTATTAAGAACTGAAATTGAAAATACGACTTACAATATTCATCGTAAGAAAAGCTTTATATTTAACTAGACTTCCCGTAATCCGTTGGGTCACTGACGGATCATGTTATAAAGCCCTGAAGTTGATTTCAACATTCCATTGAAATGAAAGTTAATTTTATTATAATTCACTCAAATATTTCAATTCGTTTGTCATCATTGGTCTGGTTTACAAGTTCATGTTTAACGTTTTACTGATTGTTTACAGCATTTAATAGGAATAGAACTTCGAGGATAAACTTGAACTCCAATAACAGCATTTATTTATGGCATATGTGAACACTTGTACAAAATGAGATAGGAGTTGTTATATTAATGTATAAAAAACTCGTATTTTTAAATCTTATTCACTTAAAATATTTTTTTTTTAAACTTAAAAATATTTTTTAATATGCCAAAAAATATTTTTAAATCTTATTCACGTGAAAATATTTTTTAAATATGCTAAAAAATATTTTTTAAATAATTAAAATATTATTTGTCTAAGGAAAGCTGAAATATAAATAATTACTCTACAAACAACTGGACGAAACGGCAAAGCGGGATCTCTTTCTGTCTGTCTTTAACTTAAAAATATTTTAATTAAAAAAAATGTCTGTTCGAAGAAAATGAAAATAAAAGTACTTACTGTATAAACAACTCGTATTTTTAAAACTTATTCACTTAAAGTATTTTTTAAATCAGATTAACTCAAATCATTATGCGCCGGGCGGACGCACCACACAAGCACGCATGCAATCGGTCTTTTAATATTATACAGATTAGGTACCTTCACTTTTTTAGGCATAAATTTTCGATACCTAAGGTTTAAAATGAGTTTTTACAAATGAAAAAGCAACCCTGAAGATTTCATTTTATCTTTAATTGAAAGTTAAAGGATTAAATTTATTATTTCCAGTAAGTAAACTATTCTGGTGTATAGAAATTATATAGACTGGAATGTCAAATTTAATTTCGATTTTTAAAATTTTCTTAAAAGCGGCCATTTTCTTAATTTTAAGAAATTTGTAGACAAAACAAATTTATCGATTTTAAAACTCTTCCAAAAATATATATTTTTTCTAACACATTGGGCATCTCGCGGCTGAGTAATGGTTAGCAAACTGTTCACGCTAGAACAATTACGACTGAGTAGTGAGTTCGATCCTCACTGGATGCCCCATACTTTCGGCCGTGTGCCAAATCTGATCTACGCTTGGAAAATCACTGTATTTATGACATTATTTGAGTAAAATTAGAAAAGTTAAATTAATCTGATTTGAAATGAATACTACTTATAGCATAAAAAAGTAATATACAGCCATTTGTTAATGTTGGGTCCTGTTTATCTGAGGCGATGATTGAAAGACAACTGAGTGACGAAGCGTTGACAATTAGTATGGCTGGCTAGAATTTACATAAAAATTTACGAAATCTAAGTGAATGCATTTTTTTGGGTTTTTTAACTACCTAGTAATTTTTACAAATGAACGTATTTTCCGCAATTATCTAATAATTTATTGACTTTTAATTACCTTTCGAAGATGCTTTATGCAAGAATAAAAATTAAAACTATAAAATTTTCTTAAATTAATTTCTCTGTAAAGAGGCAAAACTCTTAGATTACGTGACCTTTTCATAATAATGTCACGTTTAGCCTTTCATATATGAAAAAAGGGAACCAATTAAGTAAAAAAAATAAAAAATAATTTTTAAAATAGAATAGCGTAACTATGTTTATTAATCTTTTCAATTTTGGATTCGTAAATTTTGTTTCCACTTAATTACCATATCACATCCAGGAAATAGCCCAAATACAGAATTTTACACGATTTTGAACTATTATAAATTATTATAATTAAAATTTTTTAAAAACTGAAAAAATTCTTGTAAAAATTCATTATTCATCAGAAAAATTATGTATATATCTGGAGACAATAGTGTCCTTAATATAACTTATTTGTAAAAGCAATTAAAAGCTTTTCTAGTTAAATAATTTCATAGTTTTATTGCATTCATTATTTTAGAATTCAGAGCAGATTTTCCAGTTAGTGCAAGTTTGAAAAAAAATTAGGTGATTTACATTTTCCTACTTTTAAAAAATAAAAAAAAAAAAATTCAGGAAATAGAAAGATTTTTTTGCGAAATTTCATGAAATTAAGCAAGTGGGTGGGGGGTTAACATATGTAAAAAAAAATATTTTCTACCAAAATTTTTAAAAAAGAAAAAATACTTAAAAATAAGTTAATTCATTTGTGAATACGTCCTGAAAATTTCATTAAAATCGGACAATTATTTGATTTATACAAGAATTTCCAAATCAATGTGTCTTCAACGAAAAAAAAAAAGCGCAAAAAAGTCAATATTATTATTATGCCACACTGATGACGTACACAAAACAAGATTTTAACCAAAATTTCGAACGTCTTAGAAAGAATTAAAAATAAAAAAAATAATTTGGTCTTTCATCTTAATAATAACATAAACATTTTGACGATAAAACTTTATTTTTTATTAAGTTTGTGGCCTTTTTCATTACGCTATGCTGTGTTCCGCGAAAAAGTGGAGGTACCTAATATAGATAGAGAGTGCAAAAAGATTGTTCATGTGGGCTTCTTATAATGTGTAGATCTAGTTGGCGCCGATGAAAAAAAATCGAGAGATAAAAAACAACAAAAATGATAATATTTATAATAAGACTAATACTATTTATTGCATATTAGTAGGCATTTTTATAAAATGGAGGCGTGGTGAGAAAGATTTAAAAAATCGGAGTTTTCGGACACGTCATTGTCCTTTTTCAACATAAAATAAAAATGAACTGGAGCATTTTTTTTTCTCCGCATGTGTTACATTACTGAAGAAATCTTGTAGTTTGGGGCTAGTTTTTTTGCCACGATTATCTTCGTAATAAGGAATAATGTCAGATTATATATAAAATACATTAATTTCTTCGAAAATATATGCTCATTTCTCTTTCTCTCTCTTTCTCTCTCTCTTTCTCCCTCTCTCTTTCCTCTCTGTCTCTGTCTCTCTCTCTCTCTCTCTCTCTATATATATATATATATATATATATATATATCAAATGACAACGTGATAAAAAAGATTTTATAAATCGGAGTTTTCGGACAGGTCAATGTCCTTTCTCAATATGAAATAAAAATGAAAATGGACTTTTTTTTCGTGAAGTTTCCGCATGTATTAAATTATTGAAGAGATCTTGTAGTTTGCCATGATTAGGATTCAAGAGCCTTTATAGAAGGCTTTGTTGTACAAAACGTATTAAATTGAGTATACCTAAATTCCTTATTCGACCTAGAATGTGTGAATTTACTTTAAAAATTAATTTTAACTCAGTCTATCAGCGTTCTTGTTGGCATTGAAATGCATACTTGAAAAGTGCAATTGTTAATAAAATCAACCGCCTGTTAAATTTTTTATTGTATTGTGTCAATTTTCTAATCTAATCTTCCCTGACCTGTGGACGAAGTGTTCAAAATTGTTGTTTTGTTCTGTTTCTGTTAGGAAATATTCCAGCGTCTCAGTGATTGTCAGAAAGTTAATGTCAATATTACACAGAAAGGATTTCTTAGCTACATCCTGACATGTTTTGATATATATATATATGTATGTGTGTGTGTGTGTGTGTGTCACTGGAAGCATCATACATCTAGCCTTGTGCCAAAAATTAGTTATAAATAATATATATATATAGATCTATCTATATATCTATCTATCTATCTATCTATCTATCTATCTATCTATATATATATATATATATACTTATATGCTGCTTATTAATATAAATGTTATATTTAGTGGTGGACGTGTCTGTGTCGGCATTCTCCTTTTAAAACTGTCAAATTCAGTAACGATAACACATTCATCGTAATAAGGAATAATGTCAGATTATATATAAAATACATTAATTTTACGAAAATATATATATATATATATATATATATATATATATATATATATATATATATATATATATATATATATATATATATATATATATATATATATATATATATATATATATGTATGTATGTATGTAAGATTCGCCCAACATTTTGACTATGAGCGTAAAATTAATTACCCTTGCTCCTACTTTTTGTCATTTTCATGGAAAAAAGTGGTTCTGTGCACATTTACGGCGAACGTACAATGGATAGCGGCAGAAGTTCATACTACATTCAAATTCCCAGAAATTTTGGCAGAGCAATGTGTGTGCAAATTTGCATATATATATATATATATATATAGTTCCTGTATTTTTATCTAGGTAGCAATAACTGTAAAAAAAATTGCTTCCATTGCTAAAGGTGACAGAAATTAGGCAAAAGGAAAGATCGAGAATGCGAAAAAAAGACGAAGGTGGTAAAACAGGGAAAGAAAACGAACAATAGAGAAAAGAAATGTCGGAAAGCGGTAAATATTCATTTAATATATTTAAGAGAGTGGGGTAGATTTTTTTTGTGTGTGTGTGTGAGTGTATGTGTACCTAATTGAATATGAGTGAAAATGAAAGAAAATGAAAATAAAGGATGAAAGAAGACAGTAGACGTAGAGATAGTAAATGCGAATAAAAAAGAAAGGAAGAAAATTGACAGAATGAAAGAAAGAATAAAAGAAAACTGAAAAATTGAAAAAAGGGAAGAAAAAGAAGCGAAAACATTTAAAGAAAAGAAAGAAAAGAAAAAGAGAAAAATTAAAGAAAGAAAAGGAAAAGAGAAACATTGAAGAAAAAAAAGAAAATAAAAGGAGAAAGATTGAAGGAAAAAGAAAGGAAAAAGAGAAAGATTGAAGAAAGAAACGGAAAAGAGAAAAATTAAAGAAAAGAAAGAAACGGAAAAGAGAAAAATTAAAGAAAAGAAAGAAAAGGAAAAGAGAAAAA